ATTTGTATATATATATATATATATATATATATATATATGTATATATAAAATTAATAGATCGGACAATATATTCAACATATCTCCTGCTAGTTTGTCATACAATATTATTTTTCCCTCTTTTTTTTAACATAGAGAACCGAAAATCCTGCGCTTGTTTATCGAATGTGATACATGCGAAGGGGAAGTTTACGATTTTTGTATGCGTTTTAAGACGTTACTGTATTTATATATGAAAACAATTTTGAAAACGTCGTATATCGAAAAATATATGCATGAATGTCTTTCTAAATGAAGAAGGGAAAGTGAAGTTGCACCAGCAGCAGGACGAACTTTAAGCGTGAACAAGTTCATATCCTGCTAAGTAAATACCTAAGCTTAAATTGTTTCAATTATTAATTAATTATTCAATTATTAATTATTATATTACTATAATAATTATTATTATTATTACGAATGATGATTAACTGATTGTTACGCTTTCCATTCTTACAATCTCTCCATCATGTAAGTCTAATATAAAGAACGTTATCTTCGCGCAAGAGCTAACTTGAACAGTTTTCGGCGAGCACTAATAAACACGGTGCTAGTTAACGTGTACAAATTAGCGGACTTGGCTCATCGGAGCCCTTCTATGTAAAAATTGACAGTATCTTAGGGCGTGTGTCGGCTAATTTCACAACAAGCGTAATACATCACATACTGTGATTCGATTGGGTTGTTAATGTTATATGGTTTGCATTTCTTCATCATTAAATTTACTCCTATTGACATTTTGTGAGATAACACTTCAAAATATGTATGTTCAATCTTGTAATTTAATCGTGTATTGATATTTGGCGATCATAGAGGATAGATACTATGTTCATGAATCGATGATTTATGATTACAGTTAAGCAAAATCCTGACAAGCAGCAAGTGTAGCGTCCACGCGACGGTTGTTCCTGGCGAGTGAAGTTGGCCATGTAATTTACGAAATTCCGTCATGTAAGACTCGCTCGTCGCGTCTACCTGCGAGGCATCACGGGCCGACGAGATCGTCGAGCGGATCGTACAGACATCTCCGACGTAATCCTTCCATCATCGTGTAATAAAGTACGCTTCGCGTCGCGGGATTAATACCGGGAGTGCCGTGCAAAGTGTCGCGCGATCATGAGCGACGATATCGTCGATTTTCGCTCGTGAATGTCGTGAGTGAGTTCGTCGACGGAGATGCGACATCGGTGAAGGACCACGGAGAGGAGGAGGAGGGGGCCTGGGAAGCATCGGGCAACGGCGGAACGACCGTAAGGTGAGTAATATTCGTTTATTATTTTGCTGTCCCGTGGCGGATTTCGCCACTTTCTCAAGCGCGACGTGATTCGCCCTTACATTATACTTGAATTATTAATTTATTACTCGTACAATACAAGTATCGATTATCTTGGGCACTGCAATGCTTTAATGTTAAAATATTTCTGTTACAGATCAACGCAGGGTTACAACTTATATAACTCCGCTGTTGCGCATCGGCCGGTGAGTGATTTTTTTCATTTTAACGCGAATTAAAATCAAAGATAAAAAATAATAAAAAAAAAAATATTTTTATTTTTGTTTCTTTGATTTTAATTCACGTTATAACTTATTTAAGGTATAAAAAACAACTTCAGCATCAGTCATGGCTTTCTTCTGTAAATATTTCCGCGCAAGTACCTAATTTATTTACACCTCGATGGCCGTTGAATTCGTCTCAAACGTAGCATTCACAGTTATTTGTTTGCAAGTCGTAAATGATGGTAAAATTGAATAGGTTTAGCTTCGATTTATAATAAAACACCGAAATATTTTTTTTTGGTATTTGCATGAATGCTTGAAGGTCATACGTTGCTACAATGCCGTTGAAGTTATTATTCTCTTTATCGCGTTTTTTTTCTTGTCTTGACAAATTCTTCTCAAACAGATGTTGATCGTATTTCTCTTTTAAATTCTCTTTTTCTTAGCGGCGTTTTTGTATGGCGTTTTCGTGATATTAGGATGTTAATAAAAAACTATATAAAATTTAAATTTTAATCATTAAGCCAACGTTTTGACCTTACTTGGTCTTCCTCAGGGCATAAGGTGATATACATTCAAAGTTACATAAAAGTATAAAAATAAAAATAATAATAACTGTTGGAGTTTACATTAGAAACACTGAAAAATATAGTCATCGCCGGTGAACAAATACGACACGCAATAGAAACAAGGTCAAAGTTAAATTTGAATTAAACGTTGTCACGGGACACATAATTATAATAAAATTGATACTGATTACAATAAATAGCGACCTGAGTCGCAGTTGACGGAAATGCTAATTCGGTGCATTTTCTGTATATTCTAAACAGTCCTCTGTAGAATTTGATGTATCGTGGTATCAGCCATGCTCAACGTCGGAAATTATCGATGTATGTCCGATATTAGGTGGAAGTAAGGACCGATGTTAAATCAGGAACGTGTTAACGCGACTGTCCTTAGTGGCAACTTATGTCAGGACGGAAATAATTAGATAATCATACTATATGTATTTTACTTAATTTTATATTAAAAGACGATAGACTTACCATAAGTGGTCGCATTCTTGTGCTGTGAAGGGGATAGCTAAAAATTTCGATTATAATGATAATTTAAATCTGAGACCATTTTGATATCATAAACATTTGAATCAATTTTTTTAAATATATACATATTAAAAATTGTAGTTCAAGTATTAAATGAGGCATATTTAAATAATTATTATATGACATCTGTGCTACTACTTTTTAGATTTCCAAATTTTGAAGTCATATTGATGTATTTCAGATAATATTGATTTTAAAATCAATATTGGTATGTTAACTTTTTCTTCTTTCTTGTTTACTGAATCCTTGTTTGACATTTTCGTTTTTTTTTTTTTGGAACTTGCAGTTAAAAATTATCAAAAAATATTTTAAAAGAAACAATACCTACAGATTTCTCTAAACATTTTTACGTAAAATGTTAATATTTAATTACTTAAAGTATAAAAACTATTAAATTAAATATATAAATGTGCAGTAAAACTTAAATTAAATGTATATAATTATTATCATAAATAATTTGGAAACTTGAGTTTGTCAATTATATTATTTTTAATATCCCTTCGTGTAAAGAAATTTTAAACACATTAATCGGATTTTGAATATTTTATTCAACTATAATATATTCAATGTTAATGGTTATTAAGGATCGAACATAGCAATCTCGATGTAAGCATCGGGCCGCGAGGCTGACCGCTACGTGCCTGCCGTCAGTCTCGTGACACATATTCGATCCGGGGTTGTCGATCACGTCGCTCCGCGTGGTTGATCACGCGTCGAAGCCGCCCCACGCACAGGTGCGAGCTGCGAGCATCCCGGCGAGAATCGGAGCACGGCGCAACTCCGGACATGCGCAGTGTCTTTGTTCGCGATAACTGCGCCTCTCGCGCAACGCCGAATCTTTCCCCCGTTTCCGTTTTTCGAGAACTCTCCTGGCGGAAGAGAACGGCCTCGTGGCAGACTCGTTTCGCACGTCTCCAAATCAAGTGATTTCGGCAAAACGGCAAATATTCTGTGTGCGTGGTTTCTCCACCGATTCATGCGCGGCATTGCCGCCCAATAAGTTGTTAAAAGTGCGTGATTGTCAAGGAACCCGAGACGTTCTTTAACACGTGCCCTTCCGCTCAACCGGGAGAAGCACAACTCCATATTCCGAGTTGCCAAGAGCGGTCAACTGCTATCTTCAAGGGTGACCTTCCTGCTCACCAGGTGAGCTCGCCTCCGATCACTATCATCGCGTCGCGTTCGCGATCGTCGTCTGTCTCGTGGACAAGATCTCCGTCGCAAGGGCATCAAGTCGATGCTCTTGCAAGATTTCCGTATCGCGTTTGCGGCAGACAACAGATGAATCAAGATTTTCATAGATGCAATCTGTACAATATATAAATTACATCTATGCACTATGCACACGAGAAAATATTTTAAAAAATTTGCCTTGCACTACTGTGGTTTTTACTCCTCCATATCTGTACTGTTTGTACATTGTGTTACATATGTTTCTAATATAAAGTAATAAATATATTTACAGTACATTTTTTCTCAAGTGTACAAAAGCAATATTACAAAATCAAAATTATGTAATTTTGAATATTGAGAATATAAATTGATTATCTCTTGAACGCTGCTTTAATTGCGTTATAATATTAAAGGCATTACTACTTTATTTACGTATTTTGAAACAGTTTCTTTACATAATTCACCTTGAAGTATAGTAGTTAAGGAATCATTTGATAAAATTTTATTTTGATTGTAGTATTTCATCAAATACCTACATTGGGATTTCTAAGAAATTTTTTAATATTTTTTTTTATAGGAATATAAACTCTTTTTCTAACATTATATATTATATAATGTTATATACATCCCGTATTATTTATGATATAAATATTAAACTAATTAATATTTTTTGTTTTCTTTTGCAACAAAAACAAGAGTTCTAAAAGCTGATGCATGATTTCTAGTATAAATTGTTGTCAATTCAGCATATTTTCTTTTTGCTTCTTTGGAGATGTCAGGAATAATATAAACAAGAGTGGGAAAGGCTTTTAAATTTAATATAGGCAATTTTTTATATTTACTCAATGGCGTACGGTAAATAGGTTGATTGCTAAATACTTCATCAGGCTAATCCACGAAATTTAATTAGCAAACCCGTTAATTGTTGGGAAAAACCAGTTTATTATTTAGCTCATTTATTCGATACAGCGTATTTTCTCATGTACACATAAACACGTTAGACACATATGTCAGAATAAACATTAAATAGTTTTCAACAAGTGCATTACTGCTTTCCATCGTGAATATTTGCACTTATCGTTAATTCGTATAGATGATCCATCAATGATATTCTCCTGTAGGCCTAATCCACAGTCAAATACAAAATTTACTAACTTTGTGTAGTGGGAGCGAAGTGTTCTTTGTCAACTACATTGACAAAACTTACGCGTTGAGCGTTGATACTTGTCATAGTATGTCAATCAGAGACTCGAATTTCAGTTCGGTTCCGGTTATATGGTTTAATAAAACTTCAAGTAATTGTTCCAGTTTCAGTTTCGGTTTCTTAATAAAGAAAACCGAAACCGTTAAAATTACGGTTTTTTTTGGTTATAGTTATTCGCGTGGAGGAGAGAGGTCTAAAATTTAAATACTAAATTTCACGTAATTAGGCATTTTTCTCTGACAAATTACTAATTAATATTAATTTTTACGTAATCAGTATTTTTTTGTGACTAATTATCAACTTGCTAATTAAATAAAAATTTAATTTGTTCATCATCATTAGTAACAGCGAATTGGCTCTTATTTAGCCCTGTTTCTTTCGATTGGATTTTTAACAGAGCCTCTACTCACGGTCATCATCCATATGAATGATAATATTTTTTAATGGTTGTTTGGCATTTTTTTGTCACTTTCTGCTGTCTTGGGAGTGATCGAAGTGTCATTGCCCCTTGTGGCCCCTGTACGCTCAACATCTTCTTGAATACGTACAAAATTTTTTCTATCTTTCTATCAAGTCGCCGACTTTTTAAGGTGTCTATAAAGGGTATTAACTGGCACCTTGTATTTTATTACTGCTTCTGCAACAGTGCATCTTTCATTTTTGATATCTTCTATTGCTTTTTCCTTTCGTTCTGGTGTGTATCGTTTATACGGTTTGTACGGTTTGTTTATACCTACTACCTAAATACTAAATTTTACATCAATTTTGTGTGCTCCGTGATTTGCGTTGATACTTATCATAGTATGTCAATCAGAGACTCGAATTTCAGTTCGGTTCCGGTTATATGGTTTAATAAAACTTCAAGTAATTGTTCCAGTTTCACTTTCGGTTTCTTAGTAAAGAAAACCGAAACCGTTAAAATTACGGTCTTTTTTGATTATAGTTATTCGCGCGGAGGAGAGAGGTCTAAAATTTAAATACTAAATTTCACGTAATTAGACATTTTTCTTGACAAATTACTAATTTTTTAAGCGATGAGTTATTCACTTTTGCTTAAATATTAATTTTTACGTAATTAGTATTTTTGTGATTAATTACCAATTTGATAATTAAATAATAATTTAATTTGTTGTTAAGGCTGATTTATGCTGGTCGTAACCGTTGATTTAAGCCGTAATCTCTAAGAACTTTCCAAAAGATATTTTCGTGCAAGTTTTTATACTCTTTGATTGCTGCTGA